ATATATATATATATACATATATATATATAAAGATACATAAATTACAACCGAACGCTTACGAGAATCAAGTATCTGAGGCATAAAATGAGAATAGGTTGGACAACATATTGAAATTTATCTTCTGGAGTAATCTACAGGAAAAAAGACCTTCAATAATTACCAATTAAAAGAAGGACTGATAATATGTCATCAGGAAGATAAACCCCCATGATTTTGAGCTAAAACTGCCTTCCTGTCTGCCTCCTCTAATTTAATCTTTTCTTATAATTTTCTGTCTCATACGCACTGTTGTTTTGTCACTGCTTTTGCTGGCTCTGCATATACAGCACAAGGCTAGCAAGTGCTCCTTCTGGCTAATCAAAGCGCCAAAAAGCAGGTACAAAAACATTTACTAAATGATTAGTTAACACACATCTTTTTTCTCCAGAGATCACTGTAATCTTACTTGAGGCTAGCAGGTACTTGCCTGTTATCCCCACTTCGTATGAGCAGAAGGCAAATAAACAAACTGTTTAGGAAAAACTTTGAGCTGCTGATCATTTCAAGCAGCAACCCAATATACCTAGGGGACTTGTTCTTTTCCTTTAGGGAATCATCTCTATACCCATTCAAAGCCTCTGCGTATATTAGCATTGAGCTAAAGTCTAAGAAAGGTAAGACCTAGTTGTTTTTCTTTCACAGGAACTCTTTTTTTTTCCATGCCAGTGTATGATACGTTCAGCACAATGCAGAAGTGTGGGGGGGAAATAAGCAAAAAAGATTTGGCAAGGCATACTCACCACAACTCAAATTGTTTTCTGCTTTCAGTGCTGAAGTTGGAATACTCCAGAATTCATTCTCCCAGTCTACAATGTTTCCTTTCACATCACAGCTGAGGTTGGCCAGTGTTTGCGCATTCATGGTGAAATTCCAGAGGCGGAAATTGTAAATGTCTCCATTTAGAGAGCTCACTTCATCGCTGTTAGAGCCCAGCACCAGCCTTCCATTTCCAGGGATAACTTTGCCAAAGATAGTCGGACAGTACACTATACGATAGGTGCTTTTGGCGTATACACCTATACTGCCTGAGAAGCTATCCCCAACAACACAGAGCTGTTGAAAGGTTCCCGTGAAAAACTCTGCATCTCGGGGCAATGCATTCTCAAGGATGCACTGCGTGCCTGAGATGGATAGAAAATGGCCTTTTGTGGTCTTCCCAAAGCTGAAGAATTCTGTCGACAATGCATCAGTGTAGGAGAAAACCTTCCAGTCATCATCATCATCGCTGCTGCCCTTGGTTGCTTCAAAGCACAGTGTAAACTGGCTAAGCTCTGGCACTGAGACAGTCTCTGCCACAGACACAGCATCGACATCGGGAACCTGGGGAATGATGACCTTCTGATTCCTCAGAGACACAGCGACTAGAACCAAGAGCAGACAAATAAATTAACAAATAATAAATTAATCATATAGAAATAAAGGCAGACTAGCAGCAGGGGTTAAAGTAACATTTATTAAATCAAACATTCCTCAGGTGGTTCTTATCACTGTAATATACCAATAGCACACAGGAAGGGAAATTTGGCTTGGGAGTGCACTCAGCTGAAAATATCATAGAATCGTGAGGCTGGAAAAGACCTCTAAGATCAAGTTCAACCATCAACCCAACACCACCATGCCCACTAAACCATGTCCTGAAGTGCTACATCAACACATTTTTTGAACACCTCCAAGGACAGTTACTCCACCACTTCCCTGGGCAGCCTGTTCCAATGTTTGACCACTCTTTCAGTAAAGAAATTTTTCCTAATACCCAATCTAAACTGGCTAAGCTCTGGCACTGAGACAGTCTCTGCCACAGACACAGCATTGACATCGGGAACCTGGGGAATGATGACTTTCCCTGCTGCAACTTGAGGCCATTTTTTCTTCTCCTATCACTTGCTACCTTGGAGAAGAGACCGACCCCCACCTCACTACAACCTCCTTTCAGGTAGTTGTAGAGAGCAATAAGGTCTCCCCTCAGCCTTCTCTTCTCCAGACTAAATCCCAGTTCCCTCACCTGCTCCTCATCAGATCTCTTCTCCAGACCCTTCATCAGATTTGTTGCCCTTCTCTGAACATGCTCCAGCACCTCAATGTCCGTCTTGTAGTGAGGGGCCCAAAACTGTACCCAGTATTTGAGATGCGGCCTCACCAGTGCCGAGAACAGGGGCACGATCACTTCCCTGCTCCTGCTGGCCATGCCATCTCTGACACAGGCCGGGATGCTGTTGGCCTTCTTGGCCACCTGGGCACACTGCTGGCTCATGTTCAGCCGTCTGTCGACCAACACCCCCAGGTCCTTTTCTGCCGGGCAGCTTTCCAGCCACTCATCCCCAAGCCTGTAGCGCTGCATGGGGTGGTTGTGACCCAAGTGCAGGAGATGGCACTTGGCCTTGTTGAACCCCATAGCATTGTCCTCGGCCCATCGATCCAGCCTGTCCAGGTCCCTCTGCAGAGCCTTCCTACCCTTGAGCAGATCAACACTCCCACCCAGTTTAATGTCATCTGCAAACATATATGCACAGTTCCTTTTCAACAGCATAGAGAATGTTGCACTACATGCAGTTAACAACCCCTCAAGTTAGACTAAGAGCAATATTAGGACATATTCCCTACTAATTTCCAAATCTGCCTCAGCTCACTTTATAAAAAACACTACTCATTCATCTAGTAAGGATGCATTAGGCAATGGAATAAACCAGTTGTTTGAAAAACACAGTATGACTTGCTTTTAAGATATATTATTTTAATTACTTGTCTGCATGACTGCATTACACCAATGAAGTTCAGGCCTTGCTTCTTTTAAATACTGCAGTAGAAGAAAGCCCCCATTACATTCCTTGGCAAACTTAAGCCTTTTGTTCCTGAATTCAGCTAATGGATTTCTGCAAAGCATTAAGCATCTTCCCATTTTGTCCCCAGCAGCCTTCTGGTTGAATACTGCAGTCATGTGTTCATGAACATTTATATCCGAGCTGTTTAGTATTTGCTAATATTTGGGTTAGCCGTTTTGGATTTTGCACAAGTGTCTAGAAATCGTTAGTCCTCTTGCAAATATGCACTGCAGTAAGGGTATTTAGGCATGGGCAGAATTACTCCGTCTCTAATTGTTACTAAGTATTCTCATTTGCACTGGCAAAATGGCAGTTACCAAATGTGAAAAACACATCGCATGACATATGCTTTTTCTCCATGAGTATATTAATGACAATTCTGTTCACTCTACTTTAGAGTGTCAATATGCTCAGTTTTATTGTCACATTTATCACAGAATCACACAGAATCACAGCATGGCAGGGGTTGGAAGGGACCTCTGGAGATCATCTAGTCCAACCCCCCTGCTAAAGCAGGTTCACCTACAGCAGGTCGCACAGGACTGCATCCAGGCAGGTTTTGAGTATCTCCAGGGAAGGAGATGCCACAACCTCCCCGGGCAGCCTGTTTCAGTGCTCTGTCACCCTCAGAGTAAAGAAGTTTTTACTCGTGTTCAGGTGGAACCTCCTATGCTCCAGTTTGTGCCCGTTGCCCCTTGTCCTGCCACTGGGCACCACTGAAAAGAGCCTGGCCCCATCCCCTTGACACCTGCCCTTTAGATATTTATAAGCATTGATAAGATCCCCTCTCAAGTCTTCTCTTCTCCAGGCCAAGCAGACCCAGGTCTCTCAGCCTTTCATCATAGAGGAGGCAAAACAGCAGCAAAATTCTTCCAGTAAATTTCTCCACAGAAAGAAGTTTCAGGTTATCAGTCATGCAAAGGCATCAATGTCAACAAGACCAGATTGCAGCAGCCCTTGGTTTTACTTCTGGCTCCACAGTTCTGCAGCAGAGCACATCTCCAGCAAATGTCTGCTACCTCTTTTACACATTTTCAGTCTACATATGCTGGAAGTGAAACTGTGGTTTTTGCTAGACCTGAAAAATAACTGGCAGAGTAGTTAATCCTTAGTCTCCCCTGGGATTTTTAAGGGATGCCACAACACATACATTAATTACTATTCCTGTTCCCTTCTCAGAATTAAATAAAAACCTTTCAATATGAGAGGGTGAGACATGTGAGGGAAGGGTGACTGTTATGCCACACTTGGGAAAAGAGACATATATGGGCTGTAAGGATTCTGTGGAGTCTGTGGTACTGCAAATTCCCTTTGCCAGCTGCTTGCAAAGACTCTGAGCTCCAAACTACCATATTTGGATACACACAAGGACAATATATTATATAGTAAGATAACATAAAGCATTGCACATTATTCACCAACCCAGCAACTGGAGAATGGGAGAGAAGAGAGAAAAATACTGGGCTTTTATAGTTACTGGATTTACTTCATAGATTTTTATTTTTCTTCCCAAAGTCAAAAGTATGTTGTAACAATTTTATAGATAGAAAATGTGTTCAAGTCTCCATTGAAGATGGACATTTTTTTCATGGGTTAATTACACTGTAAGCTTCTTTATGTAACATGGAAACTGTTCCAGAAGAAGTATAAGGATTCAAGGTTTGGAAAAGAAGAAAGCTCATTCATATGAGCACTGACCAGCCTGTGTTAGGGTGGTCAGGAGAGTTATGGACCACCTGGTTACATTTAAACAGTATAGGAAGAGAAATAAACAGGGAGGATGTTGTTCCGGTACTGAAGAAGTCTGCTCAACTTTGCTGTACTCATCTGACACATTTAACCACTGGCACCTTCCCCGTACACTGAAAGGACAAAATTGACAAGTATTTTGTCCATGTGGAGAAAACAGAATCCTGCCATCAACATTAAACACAGATCTCCTTCCTGATTACTATTGCACAGCTAGTCATCATACTGATGAATTTCAGATGTTAGCATTGGGGAAACCAGTCATTCTCTAGGAAGAATACATATATATTCTTGGAATACTCATCCAAGTGTTTAGATTACTTTCAGAATGATGTTAAATTGTTTCTGTTAGGAAGACAACTGGATTACAATGAACAGGGGTTTTTTTTGGACACACTGCTATTTACTTATGAAGAATGTACAAAAGTCTTGGCAGCCCGGACACAGCAGGAGTGACTAGCAACAGGCAGCTCACTATTCCGAGATCCACATCTGCTTTTACAGGAGCACTGGGATGACACGAAGCCTGCCTCTGCTGCTTTTTAGAGCCCCTAGCTTACTTGCAGCTCACTCTCACATCTCAAACGCCCCTTCAAACGCAAGCAAGCTAGGAGTACCTAGATCGTATTTTACAATCCCTTGCAGGGAAAACTGCTTTCCTGCCAGTTGATGGGATTTTCAGCATGGTTTGGTGCTTGAGCGGTGCCTTCCGTTGTTTGTAGCTTTACTGCTTTCATCTGCCCTTTCACTGATGCTGGAGGAAATACATCAACTTTAACAAGGTCTGCAAGTGTCTACATACCAAATATCTGTTTGAGAGTTTTTTGTTACTACTGAACTGAATTGTGCTTTTAATCTGGGCTACTACAGTACTACTCAACTGTGTGTTAATTTTACATTACATTGTCTCAAGCATTTCTGTACTAACAGAGGTCTGTTGGCTCTTCTTCCTCTCCTTTTGGTGACTGGGCGACTTCTACTCACCAGTGGAGCTATTACTTACGCAGTTAATTTTTACTAGAAAATTATGTAACATGTCAGCTCTCAGCTGGTGTAAATTGACATATGATTCCCTTAAGACTAGCAAAGCTGAGTTCATTTACTGAAGCTGAGGATATGGCCCACACATCATGCTGTTGGTGTGTTGCAGGAGGTGACAACCAGGAAAGCCAACATTTGTGAGGGCGGACAATTTGTTATGAGTAACAGGATGTGCTCTCAGTTTGAAACTGCTCTTATATAAAACCGAGCAGTCACACAAAAGCTGTTCTATTCTCAGCTAATTCCCTCCCAAACCTCACTTACTCTCTTATATTTGTCTTTCCCCACATATATTTGTCTTGTGTACATATCATATATTAGGACTTACCATTAAGGTCTTTTAAAATGCCATTTCTAGAAAGCAAAATGCTGTGTGTCTTTGAACGGCCCTTTACTTTCCAACTTTGCATTACTTTTTGAAAATCAAAATTGAGCAAACTACTTAATTTTATTATTTACATATGATCATTTCTGAGAAATGGAAGAAAATACCAATATAACTCTGGGAGAAATCAATGACTTTGCCCAGGTATCATTACTGTAGTAGTAACAAAAGTGTCAGCTTGACAAAGGAGCTTTGAAACTCCATTGGGGACCTGAAGTGAGGGGGTGTGCATCTCTCTGATGGCTTTGGGAACTCTTTGCAAGAACAGGAGAGTGTTGCACTGGCATCTGCCATGCAGATGTGTCATACTTTCAGTGTATGCATGCACTGATGTCCTGTTGCCTATATCCTTTTATAACTTGAAAGAAAAGCAGGACATTATCATCCCTTTGCCAAGCCCCTTTTCTATATCCATTGCCAGGTTAAATAGTACGGTGATCTCTGTCTGTAACCATCTTCTGAACCAAATGTAATTGCACAACTGTGGGCAATAAGCAGAATATATATGTCATTTGACCTAGAAGCATGTAGCCAGCTCTCCTGGCATCCACGGTCAAAATCAAGATGTCAGGTGAGAGTTAACGGATTTGGAGTAATGAAAGAAAATTCAGCAGCCTTAGTCTAGATGCTTAACAGGATAGAGTTTCTGAACTAATATATATGCAGATCATTAAAGTATAAGTCACTGGCGAAGGTCACTGATACCTTTATTCACACTGGGGAATAGCCGTCTTATTCAAAATGAAAGGATATCTTCCAAGACTATTTAACTTTAATGGTGCTATCCATGAGTGTAAGGTACTATTCAATTTGGCATGGAGGTAATATTTTTGCTTTCCTAAAAATACATTACCTATAGGTATATATACATTTCCTAAAAATACATTACCTATAGATATATAATGGTTCTCTGACTACATCTGTGGACCTTTTCTCTTTTCCTCAATGAACACATCTGAGGGCAACATTGCACCTTTCAGTTCCAATAAACTATAACACTGAAGTGGAATAAATGGTGAGTAGCCTACAGGGCCTGTAAATGATCATCCTAACACCCCCATTACCTCCCTGCCCTTCACTGTCAATGTGAGAGCGACTTCTAATCAACGCTTTAAATAGCAAAACAAACATCAATCACATGTTTTTTGTACCATTATCTTCTAGCAGAAAAAGCATGGGTGTCTTTTTTTTTTTTTTTGCAGCTGTTAGACTTTTTAAATTCTAAGCATTGCTATGTATTTAAGGAAGGGAAAGGAAGGGAAAGAAAGGTCACGGAACTGGAACAAAAGGTAGCCATTTTGCAATGCCAGTTCATCCCTGAGAGTTTGTTCTAGAGGCTGGAAGAATCCCTGAGAATTTCTGCCTTCTGCACAAACTCCTCCCCACTGTTGGGTGTTTCACTGGGCCAGCAGTTTGGGCCGGCCTTGTTTCCAGCTCAGCTCAGTTCCCTCTCATGCTTTCCCTTAGGCTTCTACGTCCCTCTGAAGGTATGATGACCTTAAGGACAGGTGTCCTGCTTCCAAACCCTCCAGCACAAATGTGCAGGGAGAGGCACTGTTAGGCCTAAAATCGTCACATGTGAAAAGTTTTTCTAACCCACTTGATATTGTGCCCCAGAATAAAATAATTTATTTTCATACAAAGAAAAATAAATTAGTTAAAAAAACATACAAGAGAACTCTTTAATTTTACTCTGCAGCCTCCCCATCCCTTCCCTTCCCGTGGAGGACTTGATTCCTTCAGGAAGTGTTATTCTAATCCTTACGTGACATTTTCTTCTAACATTTATGAGAGAGATGAAATGCTTTGGGTATACTTACTTCGTACATAGCTGGCATTAAAACCTTTCTTTTGGATACTAAAGTCGCTTTTAAATGACACAATCATTTCATTGCCGGTGGAGTTATAGGATAATCCTTTGGCAGTGATGCCACAGAGGTTCATTGGGCTTTCTCCATTGTCTAATGTCAGTGAATCATAAATGCAGCCTGGAGCTTCTTCAATATCAAAATCAATAAATGTTAGCTGTATGATGAATCCATGAGGTGCTCGGATGATCCACTTGCATGCTTGGCTGTTAGGATAATCGCTGGGGAAGCATGGAGAAGTGAAAACTCCGGAGGGGTCAGTTAGCACAGTCCTACAGTCGTAGCATCCATGAGCTGGCAATAAAAACAGAGCAAGGCTGGACGTCAGGAAGAGAGAAAACTTAACAGGAAAGTAATCATCAACACAATAACTAAATGTATTTCTATAGAGAAAAACATCAACAGAGATGGAACAAAGAAAGGCAGAAGATGGCCTGTTTTCTAGTGGGCAAAATTCTGGAGGAATAGTACAACAATAGAATATTTTACATAAGAAATCCTACACTAAAGAAATATAAATTACGCTGCTAAATATTCATTTGTGCACACAATATGTATCTCCTATGTATATTGACCTGACAAAGGCAAGTGAAAGCAACATTTTTTAATTCAGAAAGGCAAATGAATTCTTAAACTGCAAATTCTAAAAAGATGACTGGTATCATTTACATTTTTTGGCTGCTGGTCTGATGCTGACTGGTGGCTATTCCAGCAGCACTGTGCCATGCTATTGTTTCCAGTGGAATGTCCCTGGAATGCAGCAACACAAGAGATGGGTTGAAGAGCAGCAGAAGCAGCAGCTCTGCAAAGCTCTGAAAGTTTAGTCATCAGCATTTCCGGCAAATGCTCTCCACATCACCCAGAAGGGTAGAAGTGAGCTACTGGCTTTTGAATCAACAGCAAATTACTGCACTTTTCCTGTGCTGACTCAGCTCCATTGACATATTTGTGGTAGTCAGGCTCTAAGAAATTCTTATCCTATTCCTTATACTCCTTTGCTCACCTGCTGTGCTTATCTACGAGAATTTCAGGCTCAGTTAGTCCCGGGCTGCATTTCTTGTTTGCTTTACATTTGCTCATATATTATATATTTACTTAGTGTATTACATGACACAATTACTGTGAACTGCCTGCTGCTGAAATATGTAACAGTTTGCCAAAGCAGTACTGAACAAACTAGGTGGGAACTGAAAATAGCCAATAGATAACCGAAGAAACTAACTGGCACATTTATGCTGAATTACTTTGCAAAGACTTCATCAGGCCACAGCCTGCATCAACTACTACAAGTATGAAAAAAATAGGGCAATGTGAACATGCATTATTAGTTGCCCAAGCTAAAAGCAACTAAAAAAGTCATCAAGTGTAAACTACATATGGAGCAGCTACAAAATAGGAATAAATGCAACAAACTTCTCCAAAGGGTCCTTGATGTTTCTTCCCACTGCTTGGGTCCTGGTATTGTTCAGTCACATTCAAATGGTATTTGGCCTAATCAAACGGACCCTGACTCTGTGAAGTGGTATGCCAAAAAAGGAAGCAGTTTCCATCTGCAGGGAGAATTGCGAGGTCTATCTTACAGAGTTTTTATAATTTTTATTTGCAAATCACGAATTCATATGGCCCCAAAGAGGTAAAGACACTATTAATTAATGGGGCTCTCAGAGCCAAATACAGGCCGGTTACATTAGAAAAGATCAATGAGATGCTTATTTGCTCAAATGAGAAAAAAAGATTATCTGAAAAATTAGCAGGTAGTAACTTTGGGAAGAAGTGGTGCTCATGACATGGGTAAACTTGATCTGTGTGGCACAAACAGGAGCCTGCCCACTCTTAATTTCTCTGCAAATCTTTACAGTCAAAGGACTATGTTCACCTGCTCTGAAGCCCTGCTGTTCTATTTATTAATCAGAGGGAATATTTACTTATTAATATAGTGACTATAAATCCTGCAGTTGTATAAACAGATGATGGCTTTGTCCAGTGGACTTTGCACAGATAGGCATCAGTTTTCAGAAAACCACCCTAGATTGAGAGGAGGAGGAACAGGAAAAGTATGCTCTAAGCCACAAGCCACTGCGGTCTCCTAGTCCAGGGCAAGTGAGCCTCTACAGGGCAGAGCAGCTGTAAGACGGCTCCAGCTGGAGCTGCCTCCAGCTGGAAGGCTCAGTGATTCATGCTCCTGCCTTCATTATTGCTAGTATAAAGACTACAGGGGCTGAAGATTTGGCAGAAAGCCGCACCCACTCTTCTGCTCATTACTGCCAGAGAAATAAATGACACAGAGCTATCTGGGCAGTTGAGAGCTTTCCCTGTGCACCCAGATGGACCTGTGCACCCAGATGGACCTGAAGCCAGGGACTAAGCTGTTAAGTGATGTAAATACATATAGGAACATCGGTGTTAATGTACACTCATTCAACCTCGGACCCCTAAAGTAAATCTTGAGGCTACTATACACCATCACCGAACGAGGAATAAACATGGCACTTGTCAGTAAAAGTGCATCCCTCAAATTGGTAGAAAATTACATTCAACCTGGGACTGGAAAAGTCAAATTTGTCCATCAGAAAGAACACAGACATTCTTAAGAGAAGCTTGCTTTTATTAATTCTATTGATCACCATCAGCCAAAACAGGACTCAGCTCTTCTATTTATCTCTCTCTTGAGTATTTTTCAATGTTTCTAAGCTGTGTAGAAAAAAAGTCAGTACACTTACAAAAATACTTTTATCCCTGCTGTCTGTCAGACAGTAAAACATAAATGTTATTTATGTTATTTGTTTTTTTTTTTTACTCATTTAATGTTTTCACTAACATATTCTCATTTTATTATATCCATATTGTTTTGTTGGTTTTACAGAACTAATGCAGAAAAACAGTCCCTAAATTTAGGTAGGAAAATACGTGCTCAAAACTTTACATACACAGAAGAAACAGATTTGGTGAGCAAAATAGTTTACTTTTTTTGAAGTGGGTTGGCTCCATTTTGGCATAGTAGCTATTCTGTCCATCACTGCAATTTGAAGGAGAAATATCCTGTTTTCATGCAAATGTCCACAGCAGTAAGTAAAAAGAAAAGAAAACAAACAACAAAACTATATATAAACAGAATGGTTTTGAATGGAACTTTTTGCACAGCTTCTCATGAGAGACAGTTATTTTTCTATAAACACCACCTATTTTACTCATTAAAGAGAAAAAATGCTGTGGCAACCTTAGGCTGTCAGCCAAAGCTTGCAGATATTTTGCAATCCCATTGGCCCAGAGCACTGCTGAACTGTGGATACTGAATACTTGTTGCAATACGCACCACAAACATTTCTACAAGCAATCTGAGATATTTTATTGGTTTTAATGGGAACAAATTTAGGTATGATATTTACGGTCATGAACTCGACACACGCAGAATCTGCCTGTCAAGTATTTTTTATCACCATAGACCACAGGAAATTCACTTTCTAAATATATTTTTTATCCAATAAAAGCCTTCATCTTTTCTCCCCCTTTTCTTCCCCAAATAAAATTAACACCCTCCCCATATATTGAAATCAAATACTTAATTTCAACATTTCCTACACTGAAAGTTTCACTGGGCAATTAATTTGTCTCCATCATGAGAATGCCCTGGATTCATATCGTAATCACTTTTTTTTCCCTGCAGGACTCATACTTCCTATAATAAAACAATAATTAAGTTTTTAGTGTGACACTTCAACATTGTACTAAAAAGGAAAATTAGTAAATTCCTCTGGAGTATGTTACAGCCTTCACCAGTTACCTACGTGATTCACAAATGTTAATTGATTTCAGAAGGGGAATTGACTGTAGGGGAAATGGCTTTTTTCCTCCTATCGTGCCCATTTTGTCAGGATGAAGTTAGGCATGGAGATAATGGGCAAAAATGGCAAAAGTTTCCATGGATTTTGGGTTCCTAATCTAAGAAATGAGAGTACTGACTTTCCTTAACTACTTAGTATTTCTACAGGGTTTTATATGTCCAAAGCACACTATCAATGACTTTAAACTGCAGCTGGGAGAACAGTCTGCCAATCTGGCCCACTGTGGAAAATCCAAAAATGAGCACTTAGTGGCCAATGGAAAATTTTGGTCAAAACAATTTGGCCATCTTTAATAGGAACTTGTCAGTAAAGGCAGGGATAGAATCCCGTTCTCGTGGTTGCCAGTTTTCCTAACCATGAGACCATTCTCTCTCTTCTGAGTCTCCTGCCTATTTCGTACACATACCTTTTAATTTCTATGAAGAGGAAAGTACTCTGTACTAGTCTTTCCTACATCAGGCTGAATCATTTGAAGACTGTCCTAAAACTAAGGGGCTAAGGGAAACAGTATATGACTCATTAAAGATTGCACCATACAAACAGATGCATACACATGCAAATCTCATATCCTATAGAACAAAAATTAATTGCCCAGCTTGTCCCCTCTACCTATTCTGTCTCTTTAGAGCGCAAGCACAGAATTCCACCATTTGAACTCATGAAGACACCTGTAGGCACTGAGATATGCAATTTGAAAATTACTTTCACAAGCCATTTGTGGGCAGCTGAAGCCACAGTCAGACCCAGAGCTACAATGCTGAACTTAAGATTTATGAAGGAAACATTTTTTATATAACTTCATCCCATACATTCGTACTTTCTTTGATTTCTTCTTACATGACTAATACATTCCAGCACTTGCCTCCAAAATCTGTGCTAATATTAATTTTTTCCTCTAGCTCCTCACACTTCTCTACTTCTCTCCATTGTCATTATTTTCCCCCAGACCCTCACATTTTGCCCTATTACATTCCACACTTCTTTCTCAGGCATGAGTCTTAACTTTTACCTCTACACCTGCTTTCATTTCTGCACTTACCCAACCCTGGAGAAACGCCGGAAAACAGATTTTGTTTGGCCAAGAATTTTTTTAAAAGAGCAAAAGTAATCCAGCTTGGGACACTGCCTATTTCAGCTCTAAAGACTTAAAGTTTGCGAAGGTTAGGATCAAAAGAAAGCAGGGTCTCTGGGGAAAAACTGTGCTTGCAATTCATGCATTATCCAGTTTGTTTCCACACGAAGTTACACCTTGCATTGGGCTTTTCTTTTTTCAGCTGTAGCATGTAGCTGGCCTTCTGTACAGCATTTTCCACCTGACAGAAGTGTAAATGACTACATATGCGTAGGCAGCAGCACAGGATACCAATGATAGCCGGTGTGGGTTGAATACTGGTATTTTTTTTAAATCCATTAAAAGGCTTCCTCATAAAAGTAAGGTAGAATGCTGCTGGA